TTCACAGAACTAGAAAAACAGTCCTTAAATACATTTGGAAGTGTAAAAGACACAGAATAGCCAAACAATCCTGAGCAAGAAGAGTGATGCTAGAGGCATCGTGGTAACTGTTCTCAGCTTGTATGACAGAGGTATAATATAAAAACAGCAAGGTACTGGCATTAAAATAGACATGAAGACCAATGGAATAAAGTAGAAGACAGAGACAAATACAAACATTTACAGCCATCTGATACTTGACAACAATGCCAAAAATATATCTTGGGGAAAAGAGTTTTTAAACATACGGTGCTGAGAAAACTGAATATGCATATGTAGAAGAATGAAACTTGATTCCTATCTCTCACCTTGCACAAAAGTCAAATCAAAGTGAATCAAAGACTTAGGAATTAGACTAGAAAATTTGTAACTGCTGCAAGAAAACCAAAGGTCATCATAGTGGTGCAGGCATCAACTTCCTTAAAAAGACTACCGAAACTCAGGAAATAAAACCAAGAATCAATAAATGGGATGGTATCAAATTAAAAAGCTTCTGCACAGTAAAGAAAGTGATATAAGAGTGTGAACAGAGCCGATTGAGTGGGAGAGGATCTTTGTCAGCGACTCTTCTGACAGAGATTAATATCCAGAATATATAAAGAACCCCAAAAGTGTAACAACAACAATAACAACAACAACAACAAAACAAATAAATAAATAAGTGGACAAAGGACTAAACAGACGTTTCTCATACAATGGCCAAGAAACATATGAAAAAATGTACAACATCCCTAATAATTAGAGAAATGCAAACCAAAACTACATTAACATTCCATCTCACTCCAGCTGGAACGGCAATCATAAAAAATACAAGTATAATAAATACTTGTATTTATTATTTTCTCTCCACATCTGCAATCATCAGCATCATCTCCAATTAGCACATACTGTGTACCAGGAATATTTTGAATATTTTGAATATTTGGTGGGGATTTGGGAAAAAAGKTACACTCATACATTGTTGGTAGAACTACAAATTAGTACAACCACTTTGGAAAGCAGTATAGAGATTCCTCAAATCTAACCAGCAATGGCACCACCATATTAWCCAGTGTTTATTCCAAAGAATTAAAATCAGTGGAATAGAGTCATCTCAATGTTTATAGCAGCACAATTCAAAATAACAAATTATGGAATCAGCCTAGATTCCCATCAGTAGATGAATGGATTAAAAATGTGGTATAAATACACAATGGAATTTTATTCATCCATAAAGAAAAATGAAATTATGGCATTTGCTGGTAAATGGATGGAAGAGGAGAACATCACACTAAACGTAATAAGCCAGGCTCAGRAAATCAAGGGTTGAATGTTTTTTCTCAYATGCTGAAGCTAGAACAAAGAAAGAAAAAATAAAGTGTGGGGAGGAGTTAGGTCTTATAAAGATAGAGGGAAGTTCAGTGGAGTAGAAGAAGGGGATTAAAGGGGAGGAAGGAGGGACAGGAAAGTGGAGGAAATAAGGAATGGATTTGACAAAATGATAGTATGTATATGTATAAATACACCACAGGGAATTTCACATTTATGTATCTACAAAGCACCAATTAAATAAGTAAATAGAAGGAGGACCAATAGAAAGAGGAAGGGAAATTAGGGGAAAGAAGGAGAGGGAAAGAGGAGGCACTGGGGACTAAAATGGAGCAAATTAAATTCCATGCATGTATGATTGTGCCAAAATGTACCCAACTATTGCATATAACTGTAAGGCACTAATAAAATTATTAAGAAAAAAGGCAAAAAAACCCCACAACCTTTTCATTATGCAGCTGCCCCAATGACACTAAGTAGGAACAAAAATGAAGTAGATGCTCCAAGCTTTCATGCTTACAATAAGTCTGGGTTAAAAAATAGATTTGTAAAAATAGCTAATATTTATTGAGCACTTTCTGTATACCAGTAAGTGCTTTAAGTAATTTACTCCACATTATGTTTTCATATTATAAATGCTATTTGAATCCTCATTAGAGAAAATTGAGACAGGAAAATGTTCTCAAAAGCACATAAAAAGTGGTGAAGCCTGGATTCAAACATACATATAACTCTAAATTTAGTCTGTGACCTTAATTTCTGTATTCTTCTAATAATTAGACTGTCCTGTCATGGGTTATGAAGCATTTAATCAGGTACTAGACAAACATAAATCTCAAACATCCATTACCAATACAGTGCACACTAATGTCAGTGATGATTTTCTATTTGCCAATACAATAGCTTCTTATTTGTCATTTTTCTCTCCACATCTGCAATCATCAGCATCATCTCTAATTAGCACATACTGTGTGCCAGGAATATTTTGACCAGTTTTACTTATATTAACTCAGTTACAACAATCTTATGAAGGAGGTATTACTATTCCCATTTTATGGATGAGGAAACTGAGAGGTAAAGTGATTTGTCCAAGATCACACAGCAAATAAATATCAGAGCTGTGGTTATAACCCAGTCCATTAGTCCCTAATCCATTCTTTTACCACTACATTGCATTATATTTGACACATATAATGCATTCTTTAAAATTTTATCCCTTTTATTATCACAAGTACAACACATATTTGTTATAAAAAATAAAGAGAAATATATAACATAGAAGTTGAAATTTCTTTATATTCAAATATACTGGAGATAAAACTTTACTAAATACATATTTATATWTGTTTATGAGTTCTTCTATATATTACTCACTAATGGTTTCCCTGTTTTCATACCTATTAATATATCTGGAATATTTTTCCATGACTCTTCAAAGCTCTACTTTATGCTTTGAAAGATCATGTTTCCTCTGATGGACATTTGAAAATTTTTCCATCCTTTTTTTTATTATAAACGAATATACAAGGAAGACAGGCATACGCATACAAAATCACACATGCATGCACACACATACATATATGCAAGTATTTCAAAAAAGCAGATTCTGAGCAGTATTTCAGAGTCAAAGGACATGTGCATTTAAACATTCTATTCATTTTCCTGAATCTCCATCAAAAAGGTATCAATAACCTGTCCCATAAATACTTGACAGAGAGGGCTGATCTCATACTTTGGACAAGTGGGTTTGTGACACCTATATTTTTCAGTATCACAAATATAAATAGATCAAAATGGTATTTCATGTTTTACATTTGTTAATTCTGTATGAGATTAAAAATCTTTTCTTGTGTTTACTGGACAGTTCCTCTTCTTTGAATTTCCTTAATTTCTTTTGTGCTAATTACATTAGTTACTCCTTCCTTAAAACTTTTTTAAAATTTCCTTTCTATTCTTTCCTAACTCTATTTCATTTATCTATTTTAATGTTTTTATTAGTGCATGATAGTTATATGTGACATTAGGGTTCATTTTGACATAATCATACATGCATGGAATTGAATTTGCTACATTTCAGTCCCCAGTACTGCCTCTTTCACCCCCGTCATCCTTCCTCCTGTTCCCCTTACTCTCTTCCACTGGTCTTCCTTTTATTTATTTATTGTTTTATTAATTTGTACTTTATAAATATACATAAAAGTAGAATTCACTGTGATATATTCATATACTTACATTTCTGAGAATCTTACTTTCCCCTTTTTTAAACTCCAGCAAAATTAAAGCTTTTGCCCTTCAAAAGGCATGACTTTTCCCCCTTTTATTAATTAATTTATTTTTCCTTCTATATTCTAAGGTCTCTTTCTGAGTTTCTTTCTCAGTTCTTCTTTTCCATGTGACTAACAGACAATATAACTATAATTATTACAAAATCAACATTYCTCAGAAGTTATGTTCCTGAGCATACATTAAGCACTTACAGTAGAGAACTTTTGTTTATATTTTTATAGATGAAGAAATAAGACTTAGGAAGTCTCACTATTAATGATAAAGCTCAATTTGAGTCCAATGCTTTATTAAGAAATCATTACATTACATTCTCTTTAAAATAAGTTCTTCAGAGTTTTCCCTAAGCCTTCTTGGTTCCCAGACACATACTCCATGGATTATCTTATCTATCCCACTGTCATCAGAACCTATCTCCTTGAGCTCCTGGTATATACAGGAGCTGTTGAAAACAGGGATGAAAACAGCTGTTGGTATATAGCCAACAGCTTATTAGACATTGGCAAGTGGATGTACTGTGAGCACATCAAACACACAGATCCAACATGGAAATTGTTTTCTTCCTTGAGAGCTTGTTTGGAGGTACAAGCAGGGGAGCCCAGCTACTTGTATACCCTTGACCGAAGAAAGGTCGTCCTCTTCGATGGAGTGCACAACTTCAGGAGGAACGCACATGGAGCAGTGAGGGAGGAAGGGGATCCCCAGCTAGCCAGCCAGGTCAGCCAAATCAACCCTGGCAATCAATGAGGTGACAGATGTCACAGACTGCCCTCACATCTGAAATCATTCCCTTCTTAAGTCCTCCTAGACATCCTCCAGGATGATTTTCTCTTGCCAATGCCATCTCATTTAATAGCGTTGCCATTCACCCAGTTGCCAAACTAGAAACTTCAAAGCCACCTTCGATTCCTGCTTCCATTACACTTCACCCCTTATCGGTTCTAGGGTCTATCGATTTAGTCTCTAAATTGTTTCTCAATACATCTTCTACACATTCCTTTACTATGATGTTAGAAGGGTCTCAATATCTCTTTCTTGAACTATTGAATCTGCCTTCTAATGGGTCTCCCTACTTCTCCCTAGGTGCCATTTATCCTTCCCATTGCTGTCAGAATTAACAATTGATAACGCCACATTCTGTTCAAATGCTTTGAAACTTGCCTTCTAGGTAGAATAAATTCTAAATGAATTCTAAACTCCTTAACACAGCATACAGAAGTTCCATAATTGGCCCCAATCTTGCTTTCCAAGTTCATCTGCAAATGTTCTGAGTCATGTGCTTAAAACTATGATCACACAAGGCTACTTTCATGTCTCAGAAATATCAAGTAGCTCTATGCCACCATGTTTTGTTTTGTTTTGTTTTCATGCTACTTGGAATGTTCACCTACGGCTTCTTTTCCACCTGTTATACCATAGCCTGCATTTCTTTGAAGTCCTGCACTCTGCCTGCAACCAATATACAGTTTATATCTATATGTCTAACTTTGCAATTTATTTCTTGGCTTTTAAACAATTTTTTTTCAGTTGTTCATAGACCTTTATTTTATTTATTTATATGTGGTGCTGAGGATYGAACCCAGTGCCTCACACATGCCAGGCAAGCACCTTACTACTTGTGCCCCAGCCCCAATTCCTTGGCTTTTTTGTTTAAATTTTTATTAAAGACTTAGTACCCAGTAAATTGTAATCTGGTCAGGTGTGTCTATTTTCTCAGAAAGAACTATGTCTTAAACATATTAGCATTTCTAGTTCTTAGAAGAAGCTCAATACATTAATGATTAAAACTGAAGTCCATTTAGRGAAAATTTAGAATAAATGACCTTAGAGTTTACTTCCAAATCTGAGATTTTCTATGCCTTTTCTACACATGAAAATCATTTTTGAGGCCCTTGAAACTGTCTTCTAACCTTGGAATTAACCCCCATTTCATGAAGCCAGTTTCTGCTTTAATTTCTTTGTAGAGCTTCAAAAGCCAAAAATTAGGGCTCCTGGCAATGAAAGTCCAGTGAGTGTTGTAGTTACAACACTGGAGAAGTTTCTGGAGAAGGTGGGGTAAACAGCACACGAGAGAGCATTGGAAAACTAGCCGYGTTCCAAGACATCTGGGATTGATTATTCCAGTGAGATGCTGAAGCAAAGAGAACAATTCTAGTACTGCCTTTTTGACATCTGGGCTTTGGCAACTGCTCCTATGGCTTTGCTCAACAGTTCTTGAAGAATAAGATATAGGCTTGTTTCAGGGAAAGAAGAACGTTTATTGACTCTACTTCTGCTACAGAAAAGTCCTTCAAAAGATTCTTTTTTTCCCTTTATCTGGGCTTTCTTAATAGGTCAAGGTGTCATTATAATTTAACAGAGATAAGAATTAGTCTCCAGCCACCTACCCGGGGTCTGAATTAGCGTCTACCAATGTCTCCTCATTTCTTCTCCTATGACTCTTGTCAAATCATTTGACAAGGATGGGAAGGAAAAGTAACCTCAGGCTACTGGAAAAACAGATTCACTCCAGCTATCCTGAAGTTTCTCTTTTTAAACACAAGCTAAGTAGAACTTTTGCTCTATTTTTGAGGAAACATCATGCATTTCTTCTCTGAAATTACCGTTTTGTTCTCTCAGTTCATTATCATTGCCTTCAAAGCACTTTAGACATACTCAGAGACATAAATTCTCAAACACMTAACATATGGTCAGGGCTAACAGTTATCCCTGAKTCTAATATTTTGACCTATTGCCATGAAAGCAAAAGGCAGTGTTCTATCAGGAAGGGGCAGGAAGAGTGTTTGCTAAAATTTGTTGAGCACATACTCTAGTGGCACTTTAATGTGCATGCCAAAGACATGATTTTATGTAAAACTCACAAAAACTATATATGGCTTGCTGATATCTGCATTTTAGTGATGAAGAAACAAGGCTCAAGGAGGTGAAATGATTTGCCCAAGTTCACGTAGTTCCTATGTGGCAGAGGCAGGTCAAGATCACAGGTCTGGCACACCAAGATGTACAGGCAGGTCCAGGTCATCACTACTAATGGGGTGCAGAGCCCAGTCAGGCCCCGGAAAGCCCTGTCAACCCAGAGCAGAGTCCAGGCAGGCCCAGGACAGCCCCACCAACACCCTCAGAGCCCTCACTGGGTCTCAGCTGCATCTTTGAACATATCGCCAAAYGCTACTGCCCACCCCCAACCCCCAACTTGACACTCCATCACTGAAAGCAGCTGCTTCCATCTTGGAACACTGTCATCACCATCTTTAGTGGYGGCAACTCCCAGCTTGGAACACCGGCTGGGCAGGTATTCCACAGTCMCCAGTTCCCACTCTACCCGGCAGCTGCTAACCTGGCACAGTGACTGCCCAATATAAAACAGCTCTCCAAGACAGGTGTGCAGCCCAAAGAACACAAACCATAAGGCGTCCCAAGAGAAAGGTCCCCGATTATAAAGTAGAAAGGGAGAGGGTGAATGAGATACAGTTTAGAGACTAAATTAGAGACCAGGAACTGTGAGGTCTATAGACRATATAAGGAGATAAGACCAGGCATACACATCACATGAGCATGCCCCAAAGGAGATCCTTGGGGTGTAGTCTTTTATCAGGGACCAGTTGGTGCCATACCCCACTTCCAGGTGCTCTGCACCCAAGACCAACCCTCCCACCCTGGTAACCTTCAACATCCTGAGGGTGGAGATACCATCTAACAACAGATCACCCCACCTACTGGATGGGAAGGGAAGCAGGAAAGATACTGATCTCCAACCAAAGCAATCCTTGTTTCTTCCTTCAAGACTTTTTTTCATCCCTCTCTATTCTTCCACTATCACATCCCCAACATTTGTGAAACAAAGTACTTTGCATGAATTAGGGTACTGAGAACTTGGATGTCCGAACAGTATATTACAGTTGCGTCGTATATTCTTTCATTTCCTATTTTTACACTTTTTATTTTTCTTAATATTTCTGTGTGTTTGTTTTATATACTCTTTTGTCTTCCCACTTACTTGTCTCCCCAAAATGATTTCCTCTCACTTCTCCTGCTACCATCTTCTTTAGATTCCCTTTTCATACTTCCTAAGATCTAATAACTCTATATCCTCACCTCCTACCCCCTCAACATGTCATCTTACACCTCACCCCCGGTTCTTTGTCCACCATCAAACTGTAAACCCTTCTTCAAACCTACTATTTATATTGTAGAAATTAATTAAACTCACCATTTCTGTATATTGTGACAAAATTRTAAATGCCGTATTAGCAACCATTTKKTTTACKGTTGTATATTGCTTGTATTGGGATCTGCTAACATTGCTRTTCCCCTCAAAGGAGAGGTATTAGAACCCTGGAGGGGCACTATAAGCCTAAAGAGTAAAAAATTACAATGCTGCAGCTCCTCAGTGCTAGAAGAAAAGCACAKGAACAATATGGAAAAAATACAAGGGAAAAAAAGTGCCCCAAACAAATCAAGGTATTACATTATTAGGATCCATGGCTAGCACAACAGAAAAAATGACAGAGAAGGAGTTCAGGATGTACATAATTAAAATGTTCTGTGAATTAAAGGATGATATAAGAGAACAAATACAGGCAACAAAAGATCATTTCGATAAAAAGCTACATAAGCAAATACAGGAAGCAAAAGATTACTTCAATAAGGAGATGGAGGTTCTGGAAAGAAATCCTTGAAATGAAAGAAACAATGAACCAAATTAAAAGCTCAATAGAAAGCATCAACAACAGATTAGACCACTTGGAAGACAGGACCTCACACAATGAAGACAAAATATATAATCTCAAAAACAATGTAGATCACACAGTGAAGATGGTAAGAAAGCATGAGAAAAATATTCAAGAAATATGTGATAACATAAAAAGACCAAATTTAAGAGTTACTGGGATAGAGGAAGGCATAGAGTTTCAAACAAAAGAAATGAGCAATCTATTCAATGAAATAATATCAAAAATTTCCAATCATGAAGAATAAATTGGAAAACCAAATACAAGAGATGCCAAATGTACAAAATCACAACAGATCCACACCAAGGCACATTATAATCAAAATGCCCAACCTACAGAATAAGGAGAGAATCTTAAAAGTCACAAGAGAAAGGAATCAGATTACATATAGGGGGAAACCAATTAGGATATCTGCTGATTTTTCAAGCCAGACCCTGAAAGCTAGAAGATCCTAGAACAACATATATCAAACTCTGAAAGAAAAATGGATGACAATCAAGAATCTTATATCCAGCAAAATTAAACTTTAGATTTGATGATGAAATAAAAACCTTCCATGATAAACAAAAGTTAAAAGAATTTGCAGCTAGAAAGTCAGCACTACAGAACATCCTCAGCAAAATATTTGACAAGGAGAAAATGAAAAACAATAATGAAAATCAGCAGAGGGAGGTATTGCACTAAAGGAAAAACTAATCAAAGGAGAAACTAAGTCATCTAAATCCCCAAAATAAACAGGAATGGCTGGAAATACAAATCATGTCTCAATAATTGTCACAAGCCAGCCATGGGTTTTGTGTGTGAGCTATGCACATTTGAGCATATGAGGGAACTGGACTGACGTTGCTGCCTGATTGGGCTGTGCGACGTATATGTGCCTTTTTGCTGACTCTGCCTATGATCCCATACAGTACCTAAGATGGGTGTGGCTTTCCAAGATATCAGTTAATCTGCTAACCACAAGACATCACCAAGCAACCCCCTGAAACCCAATCCTTTGCCTTATTTGGGTGGAATTTTCTYGAATGTCTTTCCCTGCAATAAATAGAAGGTATCAGGTGTGCCCTCTCTCTTGCTCCTTCCAGCACTGGAGCTGACACTTGGGGTCATGAGCTGAGATGTCCTGCCTTACAAACTTATGTTTGTGTGCTATGTGTTTTCTTCACCATTTTATTAGTTATTGATACAGCCAGGCCCTTTGAACCCAGCTCATGTTGCCAGCCTGGCCAGATAGTGATAAATAATAATCCTGAATGTTAATGGCCTAAACTCACAATCAAAAGACACAGACTGGCAGACTGGATTTTTTAAAAAGACTCATCTCATAAGAAAAGACATCTACAGACTGAAGGTGAAGGGTTGGGTAAAATCATACCACTCACATGGACTGTGGAAGCAAGCAGGGGTTTCCATCCTCATATTAAATAAAGTAGACTTCAAGCCAAAGTAAATCAAAAGGGATAAAGAAGGATATTTCATACTGCTCAAGGGAACCCTACATCAATAAGACATAAATATATATGCCCCAAATAATCATCAAACAAACACTTGTCAAGTTCAAGAGTCAAATAGTTCACAACACAATAATTCTGAGTGACTTAACACACCTCTTTCATCACTGGATAGAACTTCCAAACAAAAGTTGAACAAGAAACTACAGAATTCAATAAAAATCAATACCTTAGACCTAACCTACATATATAGAATATTTCATCCATC